TATTAAATCTTAATTTTCTTCTTTTACTCGACAATATGTTGCATTCTTCTACATCCATGAAAAAGATCACCTTCCTTCTTTCTAAAGCTTACATAGTATTCCATAGCTGGTATTATTTATTTAACTATTTTCTAATCTCTCTCCAATGTTTTTGCTATCATGAATGATCCTGCAATGAACATCCTCGTATATGTAACCTTGACTGAATATTTCACCTGACGGATTCCTAGAAGTGGGATTCCTGGATCTTGAGTTCATTTCTATGACATGTTTCACGAAGAACATATTTTGGGCAAGTCACATAAGGCTAATTAAAACATACCATCTCATTTATAGAGTCTTTCGATCCACAGCAAAAAATAATTTTTTTAAAAATCGGTCAATTGCTAGAGCAGTATGTCTCCTCTTTCTTCTTTAATGGGCTCTGATTGGCTGGGCTCTGACTGCTCCCAGCTTCCTGCCTGTCGCTGCAGCTGTGTGATCAGTGTGGGATGCCTGACTGCAGGCCCTTGGGCACCCCTCTGGGTGCAGGGGCCCTGGTGGCTACAGCGCCTCCAGTCAGCAGTCTGGGTTCAGAATGAGCTACAGTTCAGATTGGCACTTGTTTTCTCAAGGGCTTGAAATTGAGAGTGGAATTGCAGCAGTTTTCACTCTCCCTAATATACCTTTTTGCAGAATCCTATTGTGCAAACCAGATATCCAACTAAAATCAGATCCTAATGGCTGTGTTCAGTGCTTAAAATCTCAAGCTGCTGTAAATTATTAAGTAGTGCTCCTACACATAAGGAAAATGCCCAGCACAAATTCCCTGTAAATTTACATTCAAACCTCTTTTTTTTTTCACACTGGATCGTAGGGTATCATTTACCTGCTCTTCAGTCCACTAAAGGTAGTTTTTGTTTTCTTTTTTCCTCACACACAGGGGTTAAACCTTGAAGCGGCATCTTCTTTTAGGTCCTATTTAATACAGTTAATACAACCTCTCTCGCCCCTCTTTTTCTCTGTTGTGAGTGTTCACAGAATCTGGATCTGCCAACTACTTCTGTTTGAAGTTGAATACTTGGCAAAATTATACATCCAGCAGGCAAGAAATAAAGTGGAAATGTCTCAAAAGTAACAGTGAAATCTGCTGCGTTGTTTTAAGATTTAACTACTGAAAAAAAAAGTACTACTAAATATTGTCTTGGCACGTATAAATATATTTTAGCAATGATAAAAACCTTTAGAGTAACAGTTCAGATATCTGAAACTTAATGTCTGTCTGCCACTCTTATATATATTTACATCATATATATGTATCCCACTATTAAATGCTGTGTAATTTTCCATTTGAGTTTAGTGTTTTATTTGAGTGTTTTATATGGCCAAGTAGCCAAATTTCCCTCTGCTGCATGTTATTCAGGTAAAATTGAAAATGGGTTGACTAGATCAATTGCAGCAGCTCTAACTTGAAATCTTGAAAAACACATTTCTAATTAAGAATTTTGAAATCTAGCAGACCGCCGAAAACCAGGTTATTTTTTTTCAAATCTTTATCGTTATAAACCATGAACTACTACTGACTTCTTAGGGTTGTACTGGGCAGGGTTTGTCCTTTTTATACCTCATTCCTGTCCCCATCTTCTATCATGTTTATTTACATTTCCTAAGGCATCACTTTATCCAATAGCACTTTCAGAATTAAACTTTAAAAAATTAGATATAACTATGCCAATACATTTATTTTCACCTTTATCCATTATTTTCCCTTTCCCTTATTAAGAAAAGAAAACCCCATGTACATATGCAAAATCTTTTGAAGGTAGGTAATTTCCTTTCCTAGGTAGTAATGACTTCTATTTCCGTTAATAAATTATTTGAAACAGCTTGTTTTGTTAAGTAGATTGATCTAGTTATGCAAATGTTAAATACTTAAGTTTCCAAGGTCAGTTTGAGCTTCCTGAAAGCTGTGTTTTGAAAGGTCAGCTAAGACAGGTAAGCATGGCCTTGGACACTATTTATTAATAAAATTATTGTATTTGACAAACATTATGAACAGAGAAATGCTAATTTCTATTATTTATTTCTATAGTTTTATTATTTCATGTCTCTTTAATTACATACCTGAGTGTGTCACTGTAAATAACTGGCGAAAGATAAATCCCTTCACAGCACGCATTTAATCTAGTCCTCTTTCCAAAAATTTAACAAGTTCATATTACATTCTTAAAGCACTACAGCAAAGTGATTTAAATACAAGATGAGCTTAAATGCTACTCTTAACTGTTCCTAACTCTTCTACTGGGAAATCCTAGAAAACTGAACTAATGAAATGCAACTTCTACTTTTAAAATTCTAATTATAACTGTCACATTAAATTGAAGGTGAGAATAAAACTGCTGTATCTGTTAACTAAGTCAACCGACGTACAGTATCCTACGTGTTATTTAACGTGCAAGTGTAAAAGTCAAGTTCTCGGCAGAATTCGAAGTGCCTCCACTCAGTCTTCCGAGAATGTATAAATTAACCATTCTCCCCCAAGCAGTCCTCCTCCCTTTTCCCCTCCTCCCTATTTTAAATGTAGATAGGGCGACCCAAGTCTTTTGAATTTGAAGGGCTGCTATCTCAGCCCCATTCTTTTCATCAACCTTTTTTGAATGACACTGAGCACGTATAGATTCTTTTATAAAAGCGCCCCCCCCCCCATGCAGGGCTCGTTTCCCCAGGCTGCTTGCTACTTTTGCATAGCAATTAGTACTGACTTCTCAAAGTCAGCAATCCAAATACAGGACGAGAATGTTCCACAGAGTTCCTCAAAGGTCTTAGATAACTGAACCCTGTGCCTTTTGATTTCAAACTCGAAGGGGAGGAACTTGCATTATTACTAAATTCCCAATCGGAGTGGTGTGGAGGATACGGTAATCCCAAACTATACGTTAATTCAAACCCTCGCCTCGATGGGCAGCCAGGAGCCAGCATATGCCTTCTTTTAAAAATCTATTCTACCTATTCACTGACCGCGCAGGGCTGGGCCACATGGTCCTCCCTTGCAGCCAGTCAGCTGTGAGCAGCAGATGGGACCATTTGCATTTTTCTTTTTATACTTTCTTCAATCGGCAAATTAAAGGATTTTAAAAAAATTTACATTCTCATTGTTTGCCTAAAATACAAACGTGGCTTTTGAATTGGGCTTCCCTGACTCTCACCCAGCCCCTCCCCCCAACCACTGGGACTCGAGAAAATACCCGAGAGGAAGGTTCGCTATTTATCAAGTGGGGATCTACTGTCCGGGCGCCGGGGGTAGACAGAACCAGCCTTTATTGAGTTGGTGGCTCGTGTTTTCCTATTTTAAGCGCTCGGCGCAGATACCCCGTGGGTTTGTATTTGTGGCGCGCAGGTCTGTGAGAGCGCGCGCTTCGGAATCGCTCGCTCCGCAGCTTCCAGCCCCAAAACTTCGGTTCCAAGTACGAGGCAGATTTTTAGCTCCTAGCTTTACCACAGAGGGCGGCCACCCTGCCGGGGGAGTGGCCAGAGCCAGCGTTTCCCAGCGCCCGGGTCGCTCTCCCGCGTCCCGCCAGACTCCATGCCGCCCCGTGGGGCCGGAGGGGCCGCCCGGGCCGCGCGCCCCGTGCCTTTGTGGCGGGCGCGGCGCGGGAACACCGGCCTGGGGGCCGGGGCCGCAGCCGAGAAGCCACAAATGCGGGAGAGGCGCGGGCGCCAGGAGGAGACGCTCCGCACAGTCGCCGTCCCGCGGGGGGAAAAAAGTAGAAAAAAAGAGGCTTTTCGGGCCAAACTCTCGGGGCTGAGGAACCACGTTTCAGAGAAATGACGCGCGGGGCCAGAACACACGGCGCGCAGGGGACATTGTTCGGCTGCGCGGCCCGCCCCCCGCCGGGCAGGCGGCGCGGCCCACGTGGAGCGGCGCGGGCGCGCCGAGCGCCGGGCGCCGGGTCCCCGGAGTGCGCGCCCCAGCTCCCTGCCGCGGCCGCTCACGCCCGAGCGCCGCCGCCGGTCCCGCGTGTGCCCCGCTGAGGGGGAGGGGCGGGCGGGGGTGGGGGCGGAGGGGTTGTGGTTCCACTGCAGCGGGGGCTCCTGTGTCCTTGTGCGGAAATGACACACGGAGTCCCGTCACGTCACGCGAGAGCGCAGCGCACGGACACACACAAAGAGAGGGGAAAATACACGGCGCCCGCCCGCCCGCCGCCCCCAGCAACTCCGCGGGCCGCCCCGGCCAGGCCCTCCGCGCGCGGCCCCCACTCCCGGCCCCGCGCCCTGCCCCCACGTGGCGCCCAAACTCGGCGCGGGCCCGCTCTGCAAAGTACAGAACTCGTGTCCCAGGTAAGTGCGGGGCGGATCGAGCCGGCCGCGCGGCGGCGGCGGCTCCGGGGCAGACGGACGGAAGAGTGACTGCAACATCCATGCCGGGGTGGGGGCGGGAGCAGGGGAGGGGACGCGAAGGGGGGCTGCCCTGAGCGCGCCCGCCGGGAGGGGCGCCCACCCCCGCGCAGGGCCGAGCCGCCGGAGCGGGCACCCGGCGCCCACGGGCTCGCCGCGCCCATTGTGCTGCGCGCCCCTTTGTGCCCGCTCGGAACGCGGCGGCTCCATGGCGTTCCGGGGAGCACGCGCGCCGCGCGGGCGGGGGAGACGCGCAGTGGAACGGTCCGCGCCGCCGCGCCACTGCCGTCCCACTCGCGCCGCGCGCCGGCCCCGCACCCCCGCCGCCGCCGCGGTGGAGCGGCCGGGGCCGCCGGAAGGCTCTGCGGTGCCCTCGGCGGCTCGGCGCTCGCGCTCGGCCGGGCTGCGGCGGGGCACGGCTCGGCGTGTGCGAGGGGGTGTCAGAGCAGGGGGCGGGGACTGAAGGGGGATGCAGGCGGCGGGCGCGAGGCCGGAGGAGCCGCCGCTCGGAGGAACGAAGCCTCCGGAGTCCGCAAATGGAGCGAGGAGGCCCGCGGCCGCGGCGGCGGCGGCTGCTGGGAGCGGAGGGGGACGGGCCCCGCCGCCAGGTGGCGCAGCGCTCCCTCCCGGCCGTCCCACGGCGGTTCGCGGTTCTCGCTGCCCGGGAGCTGGAGGCGGGCCGGGCGCCTTGGGTGTGCACCGCGCCTGGCGCGAGGCCTTCCTGGCCGCCGCGGAGCTGGAGCCTGGGGCGCTCGCCGCCCCTCGTGACCGGCCCTTCCCCTCTATTGTAAACCTGCTTTCCCACGCAGACTTTGCCCTCGCCGTAGCGGTGAGTTGTGCAGCACCGATTTGGAGGGCCTGTGTGCTGAAACATGCATATGTCTGTCTGTCTTTCAGCGCATATGTGTGTAGGGATTTATATTTTGACAAAGTGTTTTTACAAAGGCAAAAGAGTTTGACTGCTCAGGTGGCCCATCTGGAAGAATTTTGCAGGTAAAGCCTAACGAATAGGGTTTAAAGAGCTTCAGCGTCACTTTTCTTAAAGTAACTTTTGAATGCTTAACTGCAAAAGTTTAACGCGCCACAGGGCACCGCGGCTTAGAGTGCTAGAAAGCTATGCTGCAGGAAACTGAGGCAAGGAAGTGAGGCTTTAAGGCTAGCTTGGTACATAAACCACAGGGATGGAGAAGATGCTTTTGTTACCTGCTCCCCGCTTCCACCCCTGCAGTTACTTTTTCTCTTTTTGTAACCATTCATCCCTAGTTTCCGATTTTATATCACCATGCAGGACTCTGTCAAGCTTTCCTCAGTACTGGGACTTGGGCAAGATACTGTATCTTTTTGACAGTTTTACATCCCCAGCCACTAACCTGATGTCTGATAACTTAGTAGTGCTGAGTAAATGTTTGCTAAGTGAGTAGAGAAAGCCTCTTGGATTCAAGAAGAAAGAGGGAGTTAGAGCGAAGAAAGAGGGAGTCAGAGCGGCCGGTTCCTGCTGGTGGGTTAGCTAGTGTGTAAGTGGCCCTTGAAATTCACAGATTAAAAAACAGACCCGTTAAAATCTGTCACATAGAAATTCCTGCTACGGAACATGTGCCTCACCAGAAATGCCATCTTGGTGAAGAAGTAATTTAACAGGAAAGGTTTATGTTGTTCCACCCATCTTCCCCACTCACAGTAAGGAGAGAGACAAGTTAGGACCCAGCAGACATGATAGTAAGCATTCCAATGATTTATTTTATTTTATTTTATTTTATTTTATTTTATTTTATTTTATTTTATTTTATTTTATTTTATTTTATTTAGACAAAGTCTGTCTCTGTAGCCCAGGCTAGGGTGCAGTGGCATCATCACAGCTCACTGCAACCTCAAACTTCTGGACTAAAGTGATCCGCCTGCCTCAGCCTCCTGAGTACTGCGTGACCCTAGACCCACTGATTTTCCTATTTTTTGTAGAAAATGTCTTGCTATGTTGCTCAAACTGGTCTCGAACTCCTGGCCTCAAGCAATCCTCCCATCTCAGCCTCCCATAGTGCTAGGATTGCAGGTGCGTGAGCCACTGTGCCCAGCCCCAATAATCTTTAAAGGGTGCCACACTGACACATTTTCTTCACACATTATCCTTTTGGGTCCCTTCTTGGCTCCTAAGCAAGAAGATGTGAACAAAAGCATGGCAGAATGTCCAATAATTAGGAAGAGAAAAATTGAAGTCAACCCTGATAAAGGTTTGATTAGGTGAAAACTTAATATCTAGTAGGAATGTCTCACCTGCCACTTTTTAGAGCCATCTGGAAAACCTCTGAAACAATGAAGAAGAAAACGACATGCTTGTATGAATTGTATTGACACCATGATGAAAAGTTTAAATACCTCAAATTATATGATATACAAACACATGGAGGTCACTAGCCAACCAGCAAAAATAATTTAGTGGGAGGTTGGGATGTAGTGATTTTTTCCCTGGGACTTAATTTTAATGACAAGTGGTATATTACGGTTGCTGCCCTAATTACATTGTACCCTTTATTGGCTAAAGTAAGCTTGGAGAAGAATTATTTGTAGAATTAATCGCTGGAATGGTAGGCCTTTTCTGTGTCCTGTTAGTAGTGCTTACAGAGGTGTATACATGTGTTGTCTTTCATAGAACTGTATACTTCCACAGAGTTAATTTCATTGTATAATTTTTAAAAATAAAATTTAAAGTCACAAAAAAAATGCACGTGCCAAAAAATGGCTTTTTGGTGACTTGCGAGCATCACCTTGCTCCTGTGGTTTCTTTCTCCCTTTTTTTTTTTTTGAGACAGTCTCACTCTGTTGCCCAGGCTAGAGTACCATGGCATCAGCCTAGCTCACAGCAACCTCAAACTCCTGGGCTCAAGCATTCCTCCTACCTCAGCCTCCCGAGTAGCTGGGACTACAGGCATACACCACCATGCCTGGCTAATTTTTTTCTATCTATGTTTTTTCAGTTGTCAAGCTAGTTTCTTTCTTCTTTTTTTTTTGAGACAGAGTCTCACTTTGTTGGCTCAGGCTAGAGTGAGTGCCATGAGTCAGCCTAGATCACAGCAACCTCAATCTACTGCCTCAGCCTCCCGAGTAGCTGGGACTATAGGCATGAGCCACCATGTCTGGCTAATTTTTTTTTTTTTTTGGTATATATATTTTTAGTTGGTCAATTAATTTCTTTCTATTTTTGGTAGAGACAGGGTCTCGCTCTGGCTGGTTTCAAACCCCTGACCTTGAGCAATCCGCCCGCATCGGCCTCCCAGAGTGCTAGGATTATAGGTGTGAGCCACCACGCCCGGCAAAGCTAGTTTATTTCTATTTTTAGTAGAGACCGGGTCTTGCTCTTGCTCAGGCTGGTTTTGAACTCCTGAGGCCAAACGATCCGCCCGCCTCGGCCTCTCAGAGTGCTAGGATTACAGGCTTGAGCCACTATGCCCAGCCATCTTTCTCCCTTCTGATTTGACAGGTGCTCTTCTCCTTACAATTTTTCCAGTATTTCTTGCTACATCATTATTTCAGCCCAAAGCTCTTGTGGTTTCTGGAATTAGCTGCCACAAGTTCCTCACACATTGCCAAGCTAAGAGCTCTGTCACATCTTTCTTTTTAATTTTTTTAGAAACAGAGTCTTGTGGCCAGACACGGTGGCTCACGCCTGTAATCCTAGCACTCTGGGAGGCTGAGGCGGGCAGATTGCTCCAGGTCAGGAGTTCAAAACCAGCCTGAGCAAGAGCGAGACCCCGTCTTCACTAAAAATACAAAGAAATTAATTGGGCAACTAATATATATGGAAACAATTAGCTGGGCATGGTGGCACATGCCTGTAGTCCCAGCTACTTGGGAGGCTGAGGCAGAAAGATCACTTGAGCCCAGGAGTTTGAGGTTGCTGTGAGCTAGGCTGATGCCATGGCACTCACTCTAGCCTGGGCAACAAAGCGAGACTCTGTCTCAAAAACAAACAAACAAACAGGGTCTTGCTGTTCCCAGGCTAATCTCGAACTCCTGGGCCCAAGCAGTCTGCCCACCTCAGCCTCCTGAGTATCTGGGACTACAGACACGTGCCACCATGCCCAGCTCTTTCAGTTTTAATCCAACCTGAAACATGTGTGTTTAAAGTCAGCCCTCTTAATTTTTCTTTTAGATATATTGGGATTCTTCTGAAAAGTAAGCCCTCTTTATTTTTTTGTTTTCTAACAATGGCTACCTCTCTTCCTGTCTGATTTTTAGTTATCACTGGCTAGTGAAACATAGTTGCATCAGTATCAATAAGGGTATCGATTGTTCAATGGAGTGAGTCACTTACTGGGCCTTTCTTGTATGCCAGGGGTTGTTGGTTTGAGCATGGAGCTAGTAAAGCAAAGGACTCAGGCCTGCCTGGGGTGGGGGCCAGATTGTGCCCCTAACCCTAATTAGCTCATGTGGTCATGAGAGGAAACTCTTGACAAAGTGGGAAGTGCAGAGGAAACTCAGCTTATACCTTCTGGGAAAAATTAGTCACCATTGTCCAGTCAGTCACATGGGTGGGTGCTGGCACGTGCTGTCCCGTTTCACCTTGAGCCTCGGCTTCTGGATGACAAGGTTAAAATTATAAGCAGGTCTGTTATAAGCAATCTGAGGCAGTAGCCCTTCATGAGGCTGGAGAACTTAAGTAGAACCTCTTAGCTGAAGAAGACAGCACATTTAGTCACATGCAGAAAATGCAGTGAGCAAAGGGTAAGATGCCGAATGGCAGACAGGCAGGGTTGTGTGGTTATACTTGGCTGCATGCTGCAAGATGAGGTTGTGCTTTGACTGAATAAGGAAGGCAGTGACAATTACAGCTTTAGAAAAACTCGGGAGAAAATTGCCCTGGTTTTGTGAGGACTGGTATTTTTCAAACTGCATTTGCAGATGTGTCTAAAAATAAAAACAAATTGCGAACATGTCCTGCAAGTCCCATGGGCAGGATGCCACTGCCAAGAGGGCCGGGTTCTGAGAGCCCCAAGGCTCCCAGCCCGTCCTGTGAACCCACAGACCCTGCTCTACAAGAGCAGATGGCATGGGAACATTCTTCCCGTCCTTAGGGAGAGTGTGCTATTTGATTTCACCCTCCCCTCCAGTATGTTTCTTTGTTCTTTTAATTTGAAAGAATAGTTACTAAACTTTTTGAAACTTTTTGCAGTTCTTTAAAAAATTTACCATTGAAATGCACTTTAAGAATATTTTTCTTAAAAAAAAAGAAAAGAAAGCTGTATAATAGGTAACATTGAGTGCTACGTGCCAGGCATGTTCTCCCTTTGTAATTTTCATGAAAACTCAATGAGGCGAGGTAGACGTGTTCACCTCCGTTTTGCAGAAGAAAGGACCAAGGTTTGGATGGATAGGTAAAGCAGTTTGCCTGGTGTTAGCTGCTAAACGCTTTAACTAGGTTAAAAGCCCTTTTTAAAAACCAGGTCAAAACGTAGGGTTTTAACCCTGTTCTATCTGACTCTAAAGTTTAGTAGGCAATTCATTTTCTTCTAGATCTGCTGCACCAGTTGCTTCTTTGGTCTTCTGATGGTGCATCTGGCTAGTTGACTTGCTGCTGTGTCTGAGCCCGGCCCGTGTTCAGTGGGAAAGGGGGAAAGCAGAGCCAGGAGCTCATGCCCCTTTCTTCCTAGGAAGGTGGGACTGAAGCTATCACTCTGGGAGTCTACTCAGTTCCTTTCCCTCCTCCTGGTCTCTGCAGCACCACCCAGCTAATTTTTAAAAATTTTTGTAGAGAAGGGATCTTGCTATGTTGCCCAGGCCTTGCTTCTGGCCTCAAGTGATCCTCCTATCTCAGCCTCCCAAAGTCCTGGGATTATAGGTGTGAGCCACTGTGCCTGGACTTTTTCAGGGTTTAAAAGGGTTTATAGTCAGTATGACCTATAGCAGAGAGGTGTCATGAAATATGCAGTGTGGCAGTTGTGAAAGGGTGAACTAAGGTTTTGGTTTTAGTTAAACTTTTTATTTATTCTTTTTTTTTTTTG